GTCCTTTCCGTGCCTGGAAACCCTTCCCAGGATTAGCTGCTCCATCATCTGACAGATTGAGGGGCAGCCAAGCAGCCTGTCCATGAATCCAGAGCCAAGGGATGCCCCCAGGTAAGGAATCTGCTCCCAGCTCACAGAGCCCGGCGCGGCTCCATCTGTCTCACCACAGAAATCAAGGCACCGGGGTTTTTTTGTTGCCCCCATAAACTTGATTTCATCAGCCAGCCTGTTTCACACAGAAATATAACCGTGGCAAACATTTCTGTAATTCAGCAGGTGCTGGGGAGTCAGGGATGGAAAATATGGGAATGAACATGGCCCGAGGTGGGATCCTGGAACTCTGCAGCCTCTCCTCCGGGTGGGCTGACTCATCCCTTTTAGGTGTTGGAAATAACAGTCAGGACCAGGGATAACTGCACTCCTGCAGCAGGTCATCCCTCTTATTCCAACAGGGGAGCATTGTAGCTGCCAAAGGATCTGGTTCTTCCCACAGAGAATCAGGGAATGGTTTGGAAAGGACCTTAAAGATCATCTCGTTCCGACCCCCTGCCGTGGAAAGGGACACCTCCCACCAGCCCAGGGTGCTCCAAGCCCTGTCCAGCCTGGGCTTGGACCCTTCCAGGGATGGGGCAGCCCCAGGACCCTCCCTCCAAAGCTGCTCCAAGCTGGAGTACCTGCTGCTGGAAGCGGTAGGGGAGCCCATGTGGGAACACGGCCTTCACCTCCTCCAGGGGGATGTTGTAGTGCCGACCCTCGTGCTGCTCCGTGTGCTTGGCCTGGCAGGGGAGAAGGGGAACTGTCACACTCTGGCCCAGACAGAGAAGGGAGGAGGGAACAGAGAGGGAACACTCAGTCAATCCCAGCAGTACCCTCTTACTGGGATCAGAGCACAAAGCAGGAATTGTGGGGTCAGGACACTGCTGGGAGGTGCTTTGGGAGAGCCAAAAGAAAGGAGCTCCCACCTGGCACTGAACAATGAAGGGATTCCCTGAGCTCCTGTAGGAACCTCCATGGATTCATCTCACCTTCCATCAGTCCCCTTGTCCTTCTGGTCCCCCCAAACCTCCACAGCAGCTCTGGAGTTCCCTGTGGAGCCCCCTTTACTTTTTTTGGTGACAAAACGATGTTTTCTGCCTCAGCAGCAACTCCCAAGGTGCCACTTGGTCACTGCTGTTGGAGGCTTAAAAAAACCTCCCAGTCTCTTTCCTGGGGCAATAATTTCCAGTCCCTTGCTGTGACCTCAGTGATCAGGGTTATTCCTGCACCAGACCTGAATCCTTCTGACTGTGCACTACAAGAAGGTGCTGCTACCAAAATATGAAAATATAATACCTATTTCATGCCTTGTTTTTCCCTTTATCGTCTTTTCCTGCCATGCAACACCTGCAAAG